GCTTCCGCTGTAAGCTGTCAACGTTTCCGTGTAGGCTGTATCAACATCAAAATCGCGCCTACCGTCTGAGTGTAACCGCACCTCTGGACTCCGCACCAATCTTGAAGGCCTTCCTTCCCATTCATAAACCCGTGCTTCGGGGTGGCTATCGACTGCCTAGGAAGTCGAGCAGAGTCTAAGACAGCTGTACAAACCCACAAAGGCGTCTATCTAGCATGCCAGCGCGAGTCGTAGATATTGCGATCATCAGGTCCAAAGTTCAAGTATCTGGCAAGGCTCATGTACATCTTCCCTCACAAAGCTCTCGCCTTCCAGTTCGGAAACAATACCAGCTGGTAAACCCAGCCGGGAGTATGTAAAAGCTTCTATCGCGCGCACCCATCATCTTTGGACCTTTTTCCGGATATTCAACAACATCAAACCCTTGGCTACGGAGCCTAGCATCGATACCTATCCTGCCCTTCCCATTCGGTTCGGGCTGATGTCCACGGTTCAATATCTTGCCATTCGGTTTGCATTTAGTATCTGGATACCCTAGCGGTAGGTTTCTTCCGCTTGCCGAACAAAAGGTAAGGTGCACTGATGTGAGAGGTTCTCTTACACTGTCAAGTCTAAGTCCGGGTATGTCATCTTCGTTATATTGTGGGTTTGCCATATCTCCACTTCCACACATTTTCCTGACTACACCTCGGCCTTCGATCTACCAGAAGGTTTCTTGCTCTTTCTCTTGAACATATTTCACAAGCCATTGCAACCAGCAATTCCACTCTGGTACTGTCAGCTTGTTCAGGCATCTCGTTCACAACATGATCGAGCGGAACAGGTACAGTGCTAGTCAGGCTTTTCTTACGAACAATACTAAAAGAGATGGGATCTAAAAAAGGCTTCTTCCGGACTCAACATTCTGGAACTACATACCACTAGCACAGGACCCGCAACGTGGGCACAGTGAATACCAACGGCCCGTAGCCACCACAATAGGCAACGTATATCCACGGCGAGACAGACAATACAATACGACTTTCTGATTGTAGTCAGCTCATCGACGCCGACTATCGGCCTTTACCGCCAGTTTGCCACCCTGATTCCCACGTCACCAAGGGTTTGAAGGGCGGGGTAGGACATATACATGAACCTTTGCTCACGTGTTGTCGCTCACCCAGGCTTCGAGACACCTCAGTCCGCGCCGTTACCGCTTATCTCAAGCGTCACTGAGACTTGTGGGTATATATATATATACCTTCAACTTACCTTGACATAACTTTTCCTCGACCACAAAGGCTTTTGCGACCACAACATCAGAATTTCAAAAGCAAGACGTCGCTCTCTCACCCGGACATCCTCGCTTATACCGTTCAGCAAGTCAACTGCCTGCCCAACCAACGTTGACAATTGGAAGTCTGCGAAGAGTATTCTTATCTTCCGACGCAGTACCTTGCAGTGCCTTTGCAACTTGATCGGAATCTGTGTGGCCGTCCGATTTTCCGACACATCAATTGCTATCTTGAACCCGAACCGAATTACATCAACCAACTTTCAACTGCCGACTGATCGAGAGGAACGTGGTTGTGGTCGCTTTACGCCATCGCCATCTCAACTGCTTTGGGTCATCTGTGGTGCCTTAGCGTCCTACCTTGTGGCTCAACTGTACGCCGTCAGCCACCGCACCCGCGAACCCTTCTTCGTCCCAACCAAACAGGAGACGGCAAAGAAGACATATAGACTGCTACGGTTAGGAAGTTCAGAGTGAACATTCTTCCGGCGTCTCCCGTGCTTCCCGCCGTCTAGTCCTGTTTGCGAAGAGGAAGGGGTGTGTTGCTGTGGTCTTGGCTCAGCGTACGTTGAGCACGTCCGCCCTACTAGCCAGTTCGTCGCCTACGTAACTGGGCTGTCCGGGAGCTCGATAACGCTAGCGCCTCGTCTGCCTCGTCTGCCTCCCCTAAGTCCCTCCCACAGCTGGTCCGTCTTTACCGCACCACCTGTAAACACCGCCACCTACACATCTCCAAAAGGTACGTACCCCCAACAGCTTAGCAGCTGCTTCCCCTGCAACACTTCTTTCCTTCGCCCACTTCAGCAGCACCCTGGTAGCTTTGTTGTGGCGCTACAGCTTGCGTTGTTGACTCTCCTCCGCTCCCCGCCCCGCACACAACACGCCCGCTCTGGTGTACACATTGCGCCTTTGCTTGACCTCTTGCTAATTTCGACGCAGAGAGCGCTTTGGTTCTTGATCCATTGCTCCGACTTGCACGTAAGCTACTGGATATCATGTCTCGCTTCCACAACAACAAGCTAAACACGGTTAGCCTCTTTGACGAGGACCCAACCACACCCACTCATAAACCCTCTCGCAAGCGTGGTCATAACATGCCCGCGCCCGAGTGTCATTCCAAGAACCTTCTGCAGCACAACGGACCCATCGAGACTTATCGCGGTCCAGAGGTGGATAATTCGTACGTCAACTACGGTTTCGAGAGCGATATGCACCGTCGCGGTCAGTATCACGGTATGGGCGGCTATGTTGCCCCAGCTCAAGCTCCGATGAACAACGGTGGCTCTGTGAGTTATACCCCCACATATGACAGCGATTACGCAGAGAGCGATCGCGAGGACCACCCCCCATCTAAGATCCCAAAGATCAACAAGGATGGCGCTCCCCGCAAGCCACGCCAGCCTCGTCCCAAGCTACTCAAGTGGAGTGACAACGATTGGAAGAATGTAGTCCTCGGTATCGTCTGGGCCTGTGGTGAGACTGGTGTTCAGATCCCGTTCGACCAGGCTGGCCAGGTTGTCGGCGAGAGCTGTACTGCTGGCGCACTTCAGCAGGCCATCTTGAAGTTGCGTGGCAAACAGATCGCAGAGGGCTACCAAATTCCATCGTTGAGGATGGCGTGGACGCGCAAAAACAAACGTTCATCTTCCTTGTCGTCCACTGCTAACACCAACTCTCAGTCCAACGCTGGTCAGGACCCACTGACTCCTTCCCGTCCGTCCTTGATCGTGAAGCTAAAGGTTCCAGTCTCCAAATCTGTCGGCGTCAAGCACTCTCCAGGTTTCAACAAGGCCGGTGCTGATACTGTCCGCGAGGAGTCCAAGGAGAAGGTCCAAGTTCTCAACCAGGCTCAAGACCAGAAGCCCGTTGTGGTTGACGACGATGTCTTCAACATTGACTCCCACCGTTCTCAAGACAAGGTTGGCCACGCCGACGTCAAGACCATCGGTGTCAGCGGTCCCAAGTCCCCTCCCGACAGCTCCAGGGGTTCTTATCCCTACACTGTCGCCCAACGCAGGCCTACCCTTTACCGCAACGATGACCAGACCCACCTTGAGGTCAACAAGTTCGTGAACGATACTCAGGTGTATGACTCTGATGCAAACGGCCCCAGCAGGGAGATGGAGTCCGTTGAGCTTGACCCTTTCGAGTTTGTCGACGAGGACAACGAGGCTCTTCTTAGGCGCCCACGCCGTGCGTTCATCCCCGAGATGTCCCCTCTGTCGGGCCATGCTTACGAGAGTCCTTATAGTTTCCAAGTGGAAGAGGGTCAAGATGTTCGCGGCCACTCGCCTGTGTGGCACGGGTCGGGACAGCGAGGAGCCCAAGGTTTCCTTGGCTTGGCTTGTTGGCCGCAAGATGGGCTACCGCCGCTAGAGGCTGGTCATATCCCTGATTCGTTTCCTCACGACGTTTTCGCGAACTGCGGTTTCACTCAGGGTTCATACGTCGACGTACCCATGGCCGAGGCTTATGATGGCTATGGTTTCAACGCGGGACATTTCAACTAAAAGCACCTCGCCTCGTCACCCGCCTTCACGCGAGTAATGGTTAGGTTTACACGACTGTAAGAACAACTACCGTCTCTCAAGACCGCTTTGCTAACCGTTGTTGCCAGTATGATGGACGGTTTTCTTATGATAGCACGATATTCACGGTTCACGGTTTCTTCATTTTGGCTGCTGGTTTTGCAGTCTGGATATGGTATGGTACGACACGGCTACATGAACACACTGGGTGTTTATCTTATTCATGGGTCGATGTGACTACTTGGCTTGAGACATCTACGTCGGCCTTGATAGCACTTGGCATGGTCTTTGCACTACATGATTGATGGATAGGATACCCGCTTCACGGATGAAAAGTTTAGGTACTTGAGTAATGGAAACTTGAATACCTCTATGATGACCTCAATGATGCTGATGCTACTGCTACTGATCGTGATGACGTGATTGACCGAATGCGTGACATGAATGCGCTTTGGTCGCTGATCTTCTACTCAGACAACTGCGGTAGTATATCCGCGCGTCGCACTCATTGCGCATTTTGCTAAGTACAATAGCCGCCAATATCCGAAAAGAGTGTGCCTCACACGCTGGCTCCGAAGGGAAGGGCACGCGACGCACAAACAAACGCGAAAAGTCACGGTGAACGTGACGCGTCAACAAGAATAACAACGGGTTACCGTGACTGGGGATTTAGGCAACCGCGATAAGATATGTCCACGCGGACAAGGGATGATGCTCCAGGCAGGTATGTAGTGTTTGCATACTTTGATAGGTCTTCCGAGTGAGATAAGAAGTGGTATGACGAGCAGTTCGCCATGTGTGAATGAAATGTTTTCTGACATAGCAACGAAGAACTCCATCAATGACGCAAATCGCCGTCTCAACCATTAAAGACCTTTCCTCTTCTTCCTTGCTTCACACCCTAGATTTCCAAATCTACTCACGTGCTGGCTGACCTCGTCATGGTCATCACATGACATCACAGCAAAACCATGGACCTTATTGACACTGCTTTCTTGACCTCAACACCGAGCCGACTGTTTCGCCGATCGCCGCAAATTAGCAACTTCTATCGCAACGTTTCACGCAATATCCCTCGCATTCGAACAACTCTGTTTCCCACAGTTCATAAAGGAGACAGCATGGACCCGAGGTTTTGGCCTGGGGGGATGGGCGGGGGTATGGGGGCCGGCATGGGGCGAGGTATGGGCGTGCCCGGCATGGCCATACCAAACATGCAACAACCATTCTACCCACCACAAGGATTCCCGCACCCGTATCTTCAACAACAACAGGCACAGGCACAGGCACAAGCCCAAGCCCAAGCACAACAGCAGCAACAGTATCAACAAGCATATGCACAAGCACATGCGCAACAGCAGCAACAGCAAGCATCCCCGACCCCACTCTCAACCCCACCACCACCCAAAGACTCCAAATACCCCCGCTTCGTGAACCCCTTCCAGGAGGAGAAGCCGCAAGGGTCTTACGGTAAGCGCGAGTACGTACCGGGGCAGGAGGCGATACGGATTCCATTTGGGCATCGGGGTGACGATCCGTGGACTAACTGGCATATGATGCAGGCAAGAAGACAGTTGCAAGAGATGAGGAGGAGTTGGTGAGGTAGGAAGGGGAGGATGATGAGGTTGGGTAAGCAGGTTAAGTCATGTTGTCGAAGTGATGCAATAGCGAACAATTCATTGTTGGTTATTGACAAGTTGAAAGCACCAACTTTGGTGCAATATTACATCCTCCGCTCCTCCCTATTTATCATGCTTTCGCATGCATCATCCCTCATCCATCCATACGCCCTCCTTCTCTCATTCCCAGTTCTCCTCACGTCCCCTCGTACTTCCCTCGCCCCAAGCCTAGGTCTCAATCTTGGGCACTGCGACAGCCTCATCGTGCTGCACACTCCTCTTCCTCTCCTGGTTCTGCGCCACCTCGCCCAGATTTATGTCGTGTCCACCCTTGGGATCGATTTCGGCGAATTGGACAGCAGGACGGAACTCCTGCGACTTCCACGCTTTGCTGACGATGCCGTAGAGTTCGTCGACTTGTTCGAGACTGAGGCCCTTGGTTTCGTAGATCATGAACCAGCTGTAGGGGGGAGAGGTGTCAGCGTATGTCAGGCAGATGTTGGTGGCTAGGTAGTATGGTGTAATGAGAAAAAGGACTTACACAAAGGCGATGCAGACGAAACAGAATGAGCCCCACACGAAGAAGACCTTAGATGCCAGGTTTGCGTGGTCTTCGTCGACCATGTATGGGGTTGAGTAGGCAATTGCCCAGTTGAGCAACCTGAAATACGGCGTTAGTCTTTTGCGATACCATGATCATTGCCTGTAAACATACCAGTTGGATGCTGTGGTCATGGAAAGACACTTGGCGCGTGCCTTCAACGGGTACAGCTCGCCGGTCACAACCCAAGCGACTGGGCCCCAGGAGCTGGCGAAGAAGAAGATATAGATGCACACGAAAGCAATGGCGGCACGTTGAGCTGCGAGATCGGATGTGCCGGCTACCGTTCCTGTGATGGCAACTGGTAAGAAGTCAGTATATGTCTCGCATGCACGTCGTACAGTCAGAAAAACTTACCGATGTACTGACACACGCACATGCCTATCGCTCCGAGGAGAAGAAGGTTGCGTCGACCGAGGCGTTCAACCATGTAGAGACCCGCTAGAGATCCGAAAGTCAGTACTGTTTTCGTTTGGCTTGAACAGGAGTGGCTTACGGAAGGTAGACGCGACGTTGACGCAGTTGGTGATGACCTGGATGATGAAGGGGTCTTGGAAACCGGCGTTCTGGAAGTATTGGGTACCGTAATCTGGACATGTTAGAGGGAGGCGCAAACGTGCGTGGTTGAGAGAACATACAGAAGATGAAGTTTACACCAGTAAGCTGTTGTAGCGACTGCAGCAGACATCCAGTCACGAGACGCTTGCCCAGGGTTCCCTTGAAGCAGTCGGCGTATGTAGACTTTCCCAACGACATCTCGTAAAGATGGTTGGCCTGGACCTCGTTCAGTTCCTCAACGATAGCTGGGTGATCGACCGGTAGACGGCGGAGCTTGCCGAGACTGTCGGCAGCCTTCTCGTATCGGTCCATCTTGATGAGATATCTGGGTGTCTCTGGCAAGAAGAAAAGCCTAGCGGAAGATTAGAAGCTGCCATTTTATAGTTTACATCAACGCGCTTACCCGCCGACAAGAACGATAGACCATAGGAATTGCACCGCGATTGGAATACGGTACGATCCAGAGTCATTGCGGTCCTTAGTGGAATTGTTCACAATAGCCGCAAGCAGCAATCCAATCGTGATGGCAAGTTGGTAGGCTCCTACAATCGTTCCGCGAATCCATTTCGGGGCGGTCTCACTCTGGTACATAGGGACTGTCGTCTTGTTAGCTTTGATGCAAGCGAGCCAGATGCCCCGCAGAGCCTCATCGATGCGGGGCGAGGGGCGTCAGCCACCATTGACGATCCGCCCCACGATGCCGGGAAGCGGAGAACAACGAGGGAAGAGCTGACTTACTCAGGGCTGAAATAAGACCAACACCATAGCCGGCGAAGAAACGACCAGCAATGAACAATGGTTGCGCTGTCGCGGCCGTCTGCAGAATGACACCGAGGTTGAAGACGACACCGGCAGAAACCATCAAACCGAGGCGGCGGCCAAGTAGATCACCAAATGGCGCAGCCGTCAAAGCACCGAAGAAGGTGCCAGCTGAGAGAATGGAGACGATCAACGAGTCCTGAGCTGCTGTGATACTGAGATCTGGTTCGGTGGAGAATTCCTTCTTCCAATAGTCCATGGCAATGATGCCAGAAATGGTACCTGTGTCATATCTAGGGAGATCAGAACGTGCGCGTGATACGACAACGACGTGTAGGCTCACCCGAAGAGGACACCACCAAAGGCGACGAAGAGACCGATTACAATGGCAGGCCTTGGAAAGAGTTAGGTGTGTGCGTGGTATTGTGTCCAGTGAAGCTTACCATGCCTTACCAGCTGTGTCTGGCGGGGGCTTGAGCATGAAACCCATGATGGCAAAGTTCGATTTGACTTCTTGGAGATGGCAATTGGCGATGTCGCGAAACTCGAGGCGCGTAGTCAGGCCGTTCAACGGAGCGCGCAGTCACTCTTTATCTCAGGATGCAAGCTCCGAGCATCTCTCCATCCAGCTCGCGATCCCGACGAACCCTTGTCCCATGCCGCTGCACCTCAGTGCCATATCACAAGTTGCTAATCCCAGTCGGTTTCCCAAGCCAACCATTCTTGCATGGTATGCCCCGCATCATAACATGGAGCGTACCGCAGTTGGTTATTGCCCCGTACTCGGCAGGCTGACCTCCCTCACACCACTTACGTCGGAGGCTGGTGACAAGACAGCGATCATAGAAGCCAGTCACGATCGCCCAGCGGCTGTTCGTCACGGGAGCGAACAGATACTGTCGAAGTGGTGGCTCAATCAGACCATGTTTACGGGCAAAGCATCATGCCAATCCTCCATTTCCAGCACGAGCGTGTGCCAGGGCAAACCATCACGCAGGAAATGCCGCACATTCTGCAAGCAAGGCGACGCGTTCTTCGAGAAGTTTGCCGCTTCCAATGATCGCGTCAACCGTTCGGCATGTCAGAAAAAGGATGGGCCGATTGTCTCCTTGCATCCCCAGGAACTCCAGAGTGGAGACTCGTCGGTATGATTCTCGGGGTGTTGGACATTGGCAGAGAAATGTTTTCCCCGCGCAACACCAAGATGACCGTAGCGAAGACGACAGTGCTACACGTCGGATGCAGCGGCATGTTATCTTGTCGTCCTTTCAGAAGGAGGTCTAGAAAATGTGCTCGTGAAGGTTGTTGTTCTCCTGTGTAGATGCTGTCGCGCCATCCCTTGAGCCAATAAGCCTTCGCTTCCTTTCGCTTCCCTTCGATGTTCAGTGCTCGGCATTGCTTGGACCGACGCGATGACTCGGGGACGTGTGCTTACGGCGCAGCATCTGCATCGCCATGTCGATGATGAGTGGTCGACGGAGCGGTCATGCCTGACATGTGCCGTCACCTCGGTCTTACTGCAACGATGAACGTCTCTCTTCCAGGCTGATTTTCGGGAAGTGGAAGGATGGTTGAGGTTGATGAAATGTGGAGGTACTCCGGGGTAGCTGCGGAGTCTAACGGGCGCACTGGCGGCGCTGTACGTCAGAGGCATCGACGCATCGCTAGAAGCCACGAAGACGTTTTTCGCGCATCGAAGCTCGATCGCGCAGGTACAAAGTTTGTAATCGAGGCTGCAGAGGGTTTCAGAACCAGGTCCCGGGATTTGGATCTCAGTGGGCAAACACATCTTACCAGATCCTGGGAAGGAGCCCGCTCGTGGGTTTGGCAAGATTGGTTGGGCATCTCCACCAGGGTGCGACGATCGTGACGATCTGCTGAAAACAGTGGTGACATGTCCACCTAACAAGCTTCTTTGGCAGTAGCCAATTTCGAGTCAGACATCATGAGTAATGGCAGACAGCTGCTTGAAATATCGCAATGCAAACTTTTCAGTTGTCTCGTGCAACAGGCAGGAGCTGCCACGCACGTGGCCTCGTTGCACAGGTCTTGAGACGGAAACAGCGACCGGCGCGAAATCTTTTGCCGAGAGTAAGGAAATGCAAGAGCGATCCAGCCTCATTAATAAGTTATCAAAACACCACACATCGACGCGAAAGCCAATTCGGCGACAACAAAACTCTTCTGAGCATGCATTGGTATCTAGTGAGAGCCCAAACTCCTGCTTTTGTGCTTCCTGCCATCAAGAACCCACTATGCCTTGTTCTTATCACCGCTCTTTCTCCGCGCCTTCTTAGATTCAACCTTGGTCTCCTTCGCGCTGACACCGTTAGGAGTAGACGCGACTTCAATACCGCCGCCCTTCTTCTCTTTTCTGCCTGCCTTTTCCTTTGCGCTCACGTCGCCGTTCTTGACCTTTGCTGTCTCCTTGGGCGACTCCTTGGTCGCCTCCTTAGCGGTCTCCTTTGCCGCTTCCTTAGCAGTGCCATTTGCAGCCTTCTCGCCCTTTGGCACAACAGCCCTAGGGTCCTTGCCCTTCCTGCGCATTGTCTTAACCTTGGCCTTCTCCATGTACTTCTCGTCCTCATCCTCGTCGAAGCCACCAAAGTCTGATTCATCGTCGCTGTCCGCTTCGATGGGACGACGATCAACGATCTCAAGTCCGGTGGCTGGGGCGTTGGGGTTGGCGGTGTTCTTGGCCTTTGCAATTGAAGATTCGTTGACGCCAACGGCGTTGGGCGGGGTACGCGCGATCTTCTTGAACTTGGCGACGAAGAAACCGTCGACGTTGTATGTGTGGGGGTAGTATCTCCTTGTCATCTTCATTGAGGGGTGGAAGGCCTTGCCGCCAATGTTGGTGAATCCTTCCTTGCCGAAGGTGAGGCCGGTCTCTACGAGCTTGACGTTCGGTCGCTTGTTCAATGCGTACTGAACGACTTGCTCGTTCTCCTCGAGGGTTACTGAACAGGTACTGTAGACGATGTATCCTCCGGTCTTTGAGTGGTGGTTGACGGAGTCGATAGCGGCGAGCAACAGCTGCTTCTGGAGATGGGGAAGCTTCATGAAGTCTGCTTCGGTCTTGTTGGTCTTGACACTGGCATCCTTGGCGATGACACCGGTACCAGAGCATGGAGCGTCGAGCAGCACACGGTCGAAACCACCCATGACCCTAGGGAATTCAAGAGCCGAGTAGTGGGAGACGATGACGTTCCTTGCGCCTAGACGGTGAATATTGCCTATCAGACCCTTGGCACGATCCTTGTTGGCATCGTTAGCAAATATGCATCCTGTGTTCTTCATCAAAGCCGCCAAATGTGTTGTTTTTCCACCAGGAGCAGCAGCCATATCTAGCACGCGCTCGTTTTCTTGAGGTGCCAGTGCCATAACGGGCAAGAACGAGGAAGCGGCCTGAAGAATGTAGTGTCCAGCGAGGTATTCCTACAAAGGGTTAGTAATGGTTCGAAACATTCATTACATGCCAGGCTTACAGGTGTGGCTCCGAGCGGCACTTGCGCATCGAAAATCTGCAGACCGACTTTAGACCACTTTCCGACGGGCTCAAGCTGTACACCGCGGTTGATCAAGCTTTGCGCAAGTTCTCTTCGGTGTGTTCGGAGGGTGTTTGTTCGGATAACGACTGGTCTTGGGGTTTCGTTGGCTTCGAAGAAGGCTTGCGCTTCGCGGGGTGGGAAGAGGTTCAATAGCTTGTCAGCTAGGAATTCGGAGTAGCCTATCAATAGTATTAGTATTTGCAGATCTAGGAGTCCCATGTATCATAAACGTACCGTAGTAAGCACAGATGTCCTTCAAAAGCGACGCTCTGTATTCCGCCCTACTTCGCCCCTCCTCAGCCAGGTTCTTGAAGTCATCCAATACACGGATAGTGTCCGTAAGTCTTGTGCGCAATAGCTGGATGTCCTGGTTGACGAGATTCGTGATCGGCCTGCCATCCTCATCCTCGTCCTCCAAGATCTTAGGTCTCTCTGCGACGATGTTGGTCTGCATGTTGCTCTCCTCCAACTCGGCTTGCGCCTCCGCATCCTCAATCGCCTTCTGCATGTCCAATCGTGTAGACAGACCAGCAATGTTAGCGGCTGTGAGCTTCTCTTCGGCGTCCTCCTCGTCATCGTCGTCTGACCACATGGCCGCGCCTCGCCTGATATCGTCATCCGAATCTACAACGTCGGAGCCAAAGTCGTCATCGTCCATGTCTTCGTCGTCTTCGCCTTCGGATGCGCTACCGAGCGCATCAAGTCCGGTAACGTTGATGTTCTCCAGGTCGGAGTCCTCGATGTCTGATATGTCGTCCTCATCGTCCGAAGGTGGTAGAGGCGCCGACTTCTTTGCCTTTGCTTTCGCTCCGTTCACGACAGCCGCAGCCGTCTTCAGAGGCTGCTTTACAGGCTTGACGGGCTTTCCAGCTACCCTCGTCTTGGGTACCAACTTGGCCTTGGCCTCCTTGGCTTCCCTTGCAGCTGTCCTGCTCCTCTTCTTGCGCTCCGGGTTCACGGCGTCGGGCGCATCTTTTCGCTTCCTCGTAACTAGCGATTCGTCGAGGACATCGGGCATGCCCTGCTTCTTCATACGGCGACCTTGACCCATGGCGACAGATTTATCCCGCAGGTGTTTAGTGGGCGGTAAAACAAAAAGGTCGAATTACTGAGAGATGGCAGCGTGAACCAGCAGCGCGAACACCGAACTTTCGCTAGCACTTTGGAACTTTTTCCACGCTAGCGGACTTCCTTTGGGATTAGCGCGTTCTTGCCCTGGTCGAGCTGCTGCGGTCCACTGTCCCGCAACACCAACAGCGTCATCGCACTGGAGCTATACACATCTTCGACCGGCGCGCAATCCCACGATACCGATACACTACCCCAAATCGCATTTCAGGAGCCTCCAGCGATCCATCATGTCAGAACTCGCATTCTGCAAATCATTCCTCAGCGCCCTAGACGCCCGCCCGCCCAAGCTGTCCAGCGATCACATTGCAGACGCACGCCAATATCCCGCACAAGGCGCCGTAAGTCCTCGCCGCCCATCCTCTACACATCCCATATCCATAAGCGTAAATATCAGAAACTGACAATCCCACCAGTACACCCTCCCCCGCCTCCCACACCCACCCCACCCGCAACGGCCAAACCCCAAGCCCACAACCAGCGACGATGCCTCCACACCATCTTCCTCCTCGATCTCCGTAACCCTCAAACCCATGAAGCCAACCACACCTACCATCCCACTCAGCTCAATCGACCCATCGAAAACCTCCGTCTACGACCTCAAACAACAGTACGCGACACAAGCCTCGTTATCAGCAGCCAAGATAAAGATTCTGTACAAGAAGAAGCCAGTTACAGATTCAAAGACACTGTTGGAAGTCATGGGCACAGATGCGGGTAGTGAAGTTGAGTTTGGGGTTATGGTTATGGCTGGCGCTGCTGTTGGTGGGGCTGCGAGTTCAGCGTCGGCAGGGACACCGGTGACGAGTCCGCCTGCTGTTGCGCCGCCGACGGAGAGCGAGAAGGGGCTTGCTAGCGCTGGAGAGACAGCTGCGGGCACAGCGACTGGTGCCGCAGATGCGCCACTTGGTCATGGAAAGGAAGTCGTTGCGACAGACGAGTTTTGGGGCGATCTCAAGAACTTTGTTCTTCAGAGGACCAAGGACGCGGACGAGAGTGAGAGGTTACTGGGTGTGTTTAGGGGAGCGTGGGAACAGAACAAGTAGTGATCTGGCACAGCTGCTGGAGCCATACAATTGCACTCACAAATATCCGGAAACAACATCACAAGAAACATCGCGCGCGTCACTTCATGCAAGCTTCCAACACAGAGCTGTCCATCGACGACAATTTGACCAGTTTAGCCTATCAAAAGCATACCAAGCCTGATAATGCAAGTTACACCCAGCACTATCACTGCCCACATATCGCATGTTTCGTCTGTAATCATCATGCGCAAAAGCTCGCTATGCCATGACCGCTGCCAATCAACCGCTCGAATCGTTTTCATTTCATATCATTACCAACCGCAGTCGTTCCTTCCTCCATACTAACAGGTGCGCGAAATCGACAGGTCGGAAGGGAAGGTGGGGGGAGAGGCGCTTAGCGGCCCTTGGAGACACGGCTCTTGATGCTCTCGAACTCGATGTCGTCGGCATCGTTGGCTTGGATATCGGCGGCGAGACCGTTGAGGGCGCGCTTGATGGCTTCCTTGGAGGATGAGTACATCATGCGGGGCTGTCAATCGTTAGCTGTTCTGTCCCAATGAATTCACTTCCCGTCGTGTTGACGTACGTATTGCGCCGCATCATCTGGCGTCCAGCTGATAAAAGTGATCTTGCTCCTGGAGCCCTCTCCGCTTTCGAGCTCGTACTCGACGTCGAACACGGCGTAGCGACCGCCAATGCCCTCCTTGCCCTTGCGGTCCTTGCTCTTGGCGTTGAGCAGCTTCTCGCGGAAGACGTCAAAGTTGGCCTCCTTGGAAGTCTCCTCGACGACAATCTCTTTCCAGTCGTCGCTGATCTTGTAGATAATCCATTTGATGTCCTTGCCAAGCTTGAGCTCGTTGAAGGTGCTGATGCACTCGGGCGAGACGGAGACACTGCGTCGTGGTTAGTACGTGCGAGGGCAATAGAGGGGTGCGCGAGACGGGTATCGGGGTGGTGGTGGAGGCAGGGGGAGCTATGCGGGCGCGTTCGTCGGGCAGCGACAGCTGTTGATGCCCTGTTGTTTGTTTTGCAGTACGTACCCGGATTGAGCCTGTATCCGTGGTTAGTTCGAGTCCCCTAATAACGCATCTCAAAGATTCTCACCATAATGTCGGATGTGTAAAGTAGAGGATGCTAGAGGGGGGTCGAGGCGCCAGGTAGCTTTATCAGTACTGTGGTTGCCTGTCAGCGTCGTCGTCATCGTTGCGATTGCCGCGTGCGAAGATGCAGCAGTGAAGGAATGGCAGCTCGTTCGGCCATGGAGCGGTGGCAGCTTACGTCAATAGAGAAAACTGATCTGGGTGGATAGTTGATGTGTTTGCGGGAGAAAAGGCGGAGGAGGAGAGTGTGATTGCTGAGGCTGAGCGAGTAGTGGCAGGTGGGGTGGGGTTTTCTCGATGCACGTACCCTAGTGGGGTTCCTTCAAGCCCTGGAGCACGGCACGATACCAGACACGTTACAAGGTTTAGTTTGGCTCTGCCGCCACAGCAACGCCCTGTCAGTCGTCACAGCATCCCACCTTATACAGGGAACAGGCTGGACAGGTACTCTGCGGTCTACGTTAGTATAAGGGTTGAAGTTCACAAGTTCTTCAAGGTAATGTAGACTTCTAGGAGGCAGGTGTTCAGTTTTTTCCGTATGAGGTGGTCCACCAATCCTACTCCTTGCAGCATTCATAACTCAAGCATATGTTGTGCACCTCGAAAACTCGTTTGAACTTGTTCATATTTCCTTCGTCGCTTTATACATCTTGTCCTTCCCAGGAGATCCTTACACAATATTGTACAATAAAAACCAAATATCCAACAATGCTGCGCTTTTGAGAAATCATGAGTGAAGAGCGGAGACCAACCCAATATCGTGTACATAAACCATCGCTGGGAGAGGCATAAGACTAAAGTCATTATAACGGAATGGGGGTATAAGAAGAAGAAAACAGACGGCTAGGCTTCAGCTGTTTAGAAGCCCATTCCGCCCATGCCTCCCATACCACCCATACCGCCAGGCATGCCGCCTGGAGGTCCGGACTTCTCCTCGGGTGCCTCGACAATAGCGACCTCGGTAGTTCCGAGAAGCGAGGCAACACCGCTGGCGTCAACAAGAGCAGTGCGGACAACCTTGAAGGGGTCAAGGATACCGGCAGCAATCATGTCAACGTACTCGCCCTTGGCGCTGTTGAAACCCTTGTTGAAGTCACCCTTGTACTCGTCAATGAGCTTGCCAACAATGACGGAGCCCTCAGCGCCAGCGTTCTCGACGATCTTGCGAGCGGGGTGGGTGATGGCGTTCTTTACAATGGTGATACCGAGCTGCTGGTCGAAGTTGGCAGCCTTGACGTTACCGAGAGCGTTGGCAGAGGCCTTGAGGAGACCAGTACCACCACCGGGCAGGATTCCCTCCTCAACGGCGGCGCGGGTAGCGTTCAGAGCGTCAACGATGCGGTCCTTCTTCTCACCAACCTCAACCTCGGAGGAGCCACCGACCTTGATGACGGCAACACCGCCAGAGAGCTTGGCCAAGCGCTCCTGGAGCTTCTCCTTCTCGTACTCGGAGGTGGTAGCGTCGTTGATGACGCCACGGATCTGCTCACAGCGCTGAGAGACCTGGTCCTTGCTGCCTTCGCCGTTAAGGATGACGGTGTCCTCCTTGGTGATGGTGATGGATCCGGTGGAACCGAGCATGTCGGGGGTGGCCTTCTCGAGCTTGATATCGAGGTCGTCGCTGAAGACAGTACCGTTGGTCAGGACAGCAAGATCGCCAAGAATGGACTTGCGGTTGTCACCGAAGCCGGGAGCCTTGACGGCGGCAACCTGGAGCTGACCACGGAGCTTGTTGAGAATGCAGACGGCAAGCGCCTCACCGTCAATGTCCTCAGCAATGATGACAAGGGGACGGCGGAGCTGCTGGGAGGCCTCAAGAGCGGGGACAATGTCCTGGACAGCGGAGATCTTCTTCTCGGAGAGGAGGATGAGAGGCTTCTCGAACTCAACCTTGGCGGTCTTGGTGTCGGTGATGAAGTAGGGGGAGATGTAACCGCGGTCGAACTTCATACCCTCGGTAACCTCAAGCTCGTCCTCGGTGGTCTTGCCCTCCTTGACGGTGATGACACCCTCCTTTCCGACTTTCTCCATGGCGTTGGACAGAAGCTTGCCAATGTGTGTGTCGCCGTTGGCGGAGATGGTGGCAACCTGTGCAATCTCCTCGCTGGTGGTGATGTCCCGCTTGTTCGCCCTGAGGTACTCAACGACGGCCTCGACAGCGGCCTGGGTACCCCGCCTCAAGTCCATGGGGTTGCATCCGGCGGCAACGTTCTTAACGGTCTCGGAGAAGATGGCGCGGGCAAGGACGGTGGCAGTGGTGGTACCGTCACCAGCAGCCTCGTTGGTCTTGGAGGCTACGTCCTGGAGCAGGCGGGCTCCGAGGTTCTCGAACTTGTCTTGGAGGGAAATAGCCTTTGCGACTGTTACACCATCTGAAATGATGTCAGCGGGCAATGTTAGAGATGGCGGCAGAACTTGTGCATACCCTTGGTGATCTTGGGCGAGCCGTAGCTCGACTCAATCAATACATTGCGACCCTTGGGACCCAGTGTTGTTGATACGGCCTTTGCAAGTGTGTCGACACCCTTCAGCAGTCCTGCTCGTGCCTCGACGCCGAACTTCAGTTCCTACCAATTGTTAGTTTTGCGTCTTTTTTCTACCATGTAGATATGCAATTGCCGTACCTTGTGCGCAAACCTCTGCTGCTGGAGGTTGTAGCTGGTGGACCGGAGCTTAGAGCTCGAGTTGAGGGCCGAAGTCCGCGCCCGCGATGCGAAAGCTCTTTGCATTGTGACGGAATTGGGATGTGTAGGTAGAGAAAAAGGAATCTCAAATGTTGCTCCTAGACTCCAGCTTTATGCAAGATAACCAGGAATAGTGTGGATGTAGAGGAGGATGCGGAGAAGAGTGGTCGCAGATGTTCGATGCCTCTAAAAATTTGGGTCGCTCGACGATTGGAATCATCGAGAAGGCGCTATGACCACATCCGCGAGCTAGCCTCGGCTTTCGATTCATAACTCCATCGCCAGCCTCACGTTTCACGTTTGTCAGCGCCTGAGATTTCTACTGGACTGCAGGTGCACCAATGTTTTGCGTGGAACTCAATTATCGGGAATGAGCGTTGTGTGCATTGACCCTACTACAACCGATCCCTCTGAGTTAGCTAGGTGCCTACGCCTTCTGGCTGACCATCAACATATCACCATCAATGCGCTTGAGGCCAACACCGAACATCGAAAATATTTCCCGCCGCTCGACACTAAGGCTGACCGCCCCATGCACCTTCTGGACCACCTCGATACATCTCCAAACGTGCAGGTGCTCTTCGTCAAGCTGCCAGAGTGTTCCCCTCGGTCCACTGCTCAACTCTTTCAGCATCTTCGTATCCCTAGCCTGCTCGATTTCCGTCTTCGCTCTCGGCGCTTCATCTTCAAGCGCTCTCTCTTTTGCGGCCTTTATCTCCTTCTTGCTCTTTCCTACTTTCGATATTGGCAAAGCAAGGCCCTTCTCTGCGTAGGCGGCAGTGGCTTGAGCCTTCACCGGGCCCTTCCAGAACTCGACCTGAGGGCTGTTGTTTTCGTGTATCAAGTGGTAGTATATTGGCTCCTCACTCTCGTTGCTCAACAAGTGCAGAGGCTTGGATATCGATATATTAGCAGGAGGCCAGCGTGTGTCGCCGTATGGGCACTGGTTCTTCTCTTCTGCCGTCAAGGTCTTCTGACTTGCAGCGCCGCCGTTGCCTCCTCCGCCTGTACCAGATTCTGGAGGCGTAAGTCGAGTTGGATCCATTTGCTATGGGGCCCGCGCAGGTGTAGGCGCGAACGCTGGCTCAGGCGGAGGTAATTATTGTCGTGGTAAACGAACCTCGCGAAGTTGCGAGCTTGCTGTTGAGCAGGTTTCGGAGCTGCGCAATTCTCTCACCCGTAATTCTCGGGTGTATCTCCTCGTGCTCTGCAACATGGTAGCTTCCTAGGGATTGTTAAGAAGATTGGGTTAAGCGACGCTGAATACTTCACGTTCTCTGTCACGCATGATGTCTTCACAGCTGCACGACTGTGACGTCAGCGCGTGTGCTGCGATGAGAATTGGCATTTTACAGCTGTGAATTACCGCACTGTCTAGGAACGTAGACCGGGGCGTCTTCGAACAGCATGCTGCTAATCACACGATGCGGCTCTTCTCGAGCATCGAGATCTCGAACTATTTTCTTTGCAGCGCACGCATGCCCAGGTGCAGTGTGATGCACATGCATATGGGGTGGCTGAAGCGCCTGGCCAATGGCATAGTCGAGCGACCAACCAGGCAAAGTAGGCAAAAGAAGGCAAGCTGGGCTACTCGACCCAAACTCTCAGGTGCGTAGCTGCCTAGCAGCACTGTGATCACATCGACACGTAAAGCTCCAGGATTTGCCGACTTCCCAAGCACCCGCATCTGTGATGCAGGACATACTTTGACACCCGCTTCGATGTGGTGACCCGCATCTCCCCCAGATCCGTTCGAGATGGAGCCATAAGGCTGGCGCCGCTCGCACGGGAACGTATATAGTTTGGTTCTCAGCCTTTCGCGCCTGATCTAGGAAAAGCAGTGCAGGAGTTTCATCGCGACAATAGTCAGCCTACCGCCCGACTTCAAGAAGCACGACTTGTACTGTGGGCATTGCATGCCCATTGCGCCTGATTGTATCGCCGTCATCATTCACCGAGATGGCGCCTCTTGGCCCTCGACCAGCCGACCCAGCATTGAAAGAGGCGCGTGAAGCTCAGCGCAGACCTACTCTCCCATCGGCAAGCAGAGGCGAGCGTATCCAAGAAACATACACAGCATACGACGACTTTCCATGGGAGAAGATCGAGGAATTTCTCAGAGTCAAATGGTCCAAGTGGGATTTTAAGCCGCAGAGGGTACGTCACGTCTTTATCTTGGAGAAGTTAGTCTCACCAGTCATGTAGTTCAACGACAAGTGGGTTTTCGAGGTGCCCGAGGAGTTGACGGAGGTGAGTCTCGTGCTTCTCTGGCATTTGCCTAATCTGTTCGCAATGGAGGCTGAGCTGTTTAGGGCGATCGAAGAGAACTTAGGAACAGGAGAGATGCGCCTAAGAGGACGCGGCGAGCCTCGATCTCACCCGAGCGAGAGGAGGGGCAAAATTCAGCCTCTTAAAGGCAAATGCAAGTTTTACCACAGTATCTTGATGGCGCATGATTGGCAAGGTTGATTTTTGAGTCCTCGTGCGGTGTATCGCTGACAGTGAGGGGCTTGCATACCCAAGTAAGCCGTGGCGGTGATCCCTGACGAAATTAGCGATTCATGTCTACTGAAACCTCACACAGCCGTGACGAATCAGCCACTGTCAGCCTCTCGAGGATATCTCATCCACATACTGAACTCATAAACATGGTCACCCTACGGCGTTCTCGATTTGCACTTAGCGACAGTCTTCACATCTGTGCTTCTCCAGACCTTCAAGATGGCGTGTGCTATATCAGTGGAACTCCAGAAGTCCTACAGTGAGAGCAGCGACTATCCACAAAATCTCATGCCTAATGAAATCCTCTCGAACCAAAACAAGCTCGCTTCTTACAAGAGCCTTCTCGATGTTGTCGAGCATGATCTGTGTCTCACGGATAAGCACGATAATGTTAACGATACTTTCGAGATTCCAGTGATCGACATAGGCACTGCTGATGGAAAAGGTTTGTTAAGACTTCCTCTGTTCGAAGAAATGCTAATTGAAGCAGCACGTATGAAGCGGAACTTACATAACCCGGGTAAAGTGACGGAATGGCTCGGGGTGGAGATCGTGCAAGACACAGTCAATCCCATCGTACAACAGGTTGTGGCTCGAAAACGAGACCCACGGTGCAGATTCATGTATGCTCTAGCTCTCTTCTAATGAGTTATTTACACTAATAACACAGTTACTTCTACGGCCAGAACTCGCGAGACAAATTGAAAACCACCAGGAACAGTCTCTGTCAGATCCTATCATATCATCAGGTCATGTCAGGGTACCTGGACTTCATGATGGTGTTTGGGGCACAGAGTGATGCAAGAGACCTTCGGTTCAGTGGCTTTCGTGAGCAAATTCGCCTCAAACTCCCTTTCAGTGGACATTCAGCTCCTAATCTAGGACGAAGCGGCAAACATTTCCAACTCTGCTACAACTTGAAAGGGGTACAACCCAAACAAACAAGTAGCGAAAACATCAAGCTTGACGAATGGTCCATCCGAGATGCTGCTATTCATCATCGATTCGATGTGGAATTCGGGACCACGCTGTGGATCGTCACCAAAGGTAGCATGGACCTACGCGACCGCTACGAAGAACTTACTAGGCCCGCTGCTAAATCAGGCAATGAGAGCTATAGCGACACAGCAGCCTGTTTCAGATCATCTCTGGCAACTCACCTGCTTTACTGCCAATGGTCGACTGAGAACTGGAGAAGGTACCTCGTCTGGCTTGAAAGGGTGGTTGAGCAAGAAGTGAGTGTCACCTACGCACATACTTTTCTCATCCAATGCTGACGTCGCGGCTTTTAGAGTGGAATGGCAGTCGATGGGCTTCGCGGCCCCGATCATGCATACAGACAATATCAGTGGTGGGATATTCAAGATCTGCAACATTGGCACGACAAAACTAACGAGGTCGTCATGGTTCTCGACGCTAACTCGAAAGTCCTGAGGGCCTTGTGCAGGTTCTACTCAAACTTAATCGCCCGTAAGGACTTTCCTGATACCCTGAAGACGTCTTGTGAAGAGCACCTTGCCGCCTTCATATCCCAGCTCGACGAGATCTCTGCGGACTTCGACATGCAACTAGCCCGAGCAAAGCTTCTAGTGAATATCATAGGCGATAGAAAGCAGCTGGTATTGCAGCATCTGCAGAGTCAAGTCTCGGACCGAACGGAACAGCTGAACAAGAATCTCGAACGGGAGACGGTTGTCATGCGAATCATCACTATTCTGACTCTGATCTATCTTCCGGCTACTTTTGTCTCAGTAAGTCGATGCTCTCGTTGTGAGGGCTTCCTCTAATGAATAGCAGACGTTCTTTAGTACCGACATTGTCAAGTACCAAGACCAGAACCGTGAATCTGCTAGTTACGACAATGGCTCTTTTTCGAACCTCGCCTTGAAGCGATGGCTTCAAGTTACCATACCACTGACTGCTCTTACGCTGTTTGGTGCATGGTTGACCTTCCGTTTCTATAGCGTATCGGCAAAGAACTCGACATTTCTCGAGCGCCTGAAACGTGCAGTGCTGAGTACCACGCCCGCAGAAGCAGGTACCTATGTGCAAATGCCATCCGGCGATCGCCCTGGCACGACTAATGCTACCAACGAAGGCTCAGTAAAGTGGTTGGGGGCTTCAATATCTCGTTTCGCTTCAGGTGTACACAAGTTCGGAAATAGTCGTGCTGTCCTCCCTCGATATGAAGGTAGTGGAGCTAAACATGGTTGACGGGTGTATATGCGGGGCATTGAGTAGGATGGACCTTGGGTGATTTCGATTTTTCCTGTGTGGCAGCCTTCAACATTGGCCTACCATCTTAGAGCGTGCACCGTATCATAGTTTTGCGCATTATGTGTCAGACCGCAATCTCATAAGCTGACAATCGGTCACGGCGGGCAGCCGCCGTCGCACCCCATACAAGGGAAAAGCTGAACACCTAGGAGCCTACGTCGCTGTTAGACTACCAACTTCGCAAGCTTTTATCTTGATGTAGGCTCTAGGGTGTTCGGTTTTTCCTTTGAATGGGGTGGTCGGGGGCAGGCAGGGACGGAAGGTGGGGTCGGTGGGGCTTAGCGAACAGGCGTTCAGCGCTGCGGGAAACCTCCCATACCCACATCTTTTCTTCAACACCTCTTCCTCATACATACTATGGCGCAGCTTTCGGATAGCGCATACCGCAACCCAATAAGAACGTGCCCCTGTCGAAGTTCGAGCGCACAGCCGACGAGACAATGTGCTAGTGGCTGTGCACATACTCTGCCTTGTTGCCTCGATCTCGGATGGACAGCATCAGCTCGCTGCAGCCACGAAGGTCCTCCAAGCATCTATTGGCGCGACCTCAGCCTGTCCCTGTCATCCGCGGCTCGAGGCTGGTAATACTCAATCGTAGTTAATATGTACCCTGCTCTCGCGCGACTGAGACTCTGCCATCTCAACTTACTGCTTCTCATCTCCTCTGGCCTCTTCTAGACTTTACTGCGCGCATGCGTTGCGCGACCCATTCGAGCTCGACGCAACGACCTTTGGACGCAAAATCAGCACCAGCGCACCTAACCCCACTTCAGCCTTGTACGATGCATCTCTGCCCATAAGGCCTTCACAGCCTGATCTTTGGTTGGGACCACGTCGAAATGTCAGGCGCAAACTACCAGCAGATTCCATCTCTGCCCATCCGGGATGAGTTCATGGCCTTGTTGAGGACAGAATGGACACGTCAGGTAGCGTGTCAGAACGAATGCCACCCACCTGAGTCTTGCAGCTGCCAGCGCACGATTGTGCACGTTCACGATCTCGAAGCCTGGTGGAAGAAGCCAGCCTCTGGAAACCCCAAGAATACAAATTGGGAACAATTCGTGTACGGACTGCCCCTTCTTCCTGGTCGCAATCTACCAATTACGCCAAAGAAAATCTTTGGCGGCGGACAGTCCCGCCTCCGCATCCTCAGCCTGCTCATCAGACAAGAACGCGACCAACTCATCGACTGTTTCTACGAAGCGAATATGCACGACCACTACATGGACCGCAGCGAAGATTACCAGAGACTTCGTGAGCAGCTATCCGATGTCGTGCGAAAAGAAGAAGTGGAGTTCATCATCAATGATTTCCACAAAGAAAAATGGGAGTTCTGCCCGTTGAATTTGACTTCCGACATGTCTATCGACTTACGCGGGTCGGAAGTAATTCCTCCGTTCTGCATGAAGATCAAGCTTCCCCAGAAAGGCGGTACTGCGTCGATATACTGGGTCGCGGTGCAAAAGGCTCTCATATCCGATGACGCACTCGCACTTGCCTTGAAGGACTCCCTCTACATGGACAACATTTATGGAGAGGTAGGCTCCCTAGAACCTAATTGATGGAACGAACTAACTAGTTCCAGTGTTACCAAATGGTACTCAAGTCTTATTGCGGGAATAAGAAGCAAGATTTCGACATGGAAAAGGCTGCATTTTCTGCCTTACCGTCGAATGACCAGGTTCCTATCGTGAGATGCTTCGGAGCTTACATCCATGGTCATGGTGAAGGTGAAAATATGGGTACGACGTATAATCTCTTGCTGGAATACGGCGAAAACGACCTATATGAAGCATGGGCAGATGAAACCAACATTCCCCCGGTTCAGGCTCAAGAAATTCTTCAGAGTTGGAAGTCTTTGTTCAACGTCGCTGAGGCCATTCGTCAACTTCATCATCCGGAGTTCCCCCGAGGCAGCGGAGAGCCCTGGAGATTCCATGGGTATGTGCATTGATACGTTTGGAACGTTCATCGCTGACACAAGCAAGTTGGCACGCGGACATCAAACCGGACAATATTCTCAGTGTTCGTGGACAGCTCAAACTATCTGACTTTGGATTTTCGAGCTTCGCGCCAGTAATCGAGGGTCAAGACAGCTCAGAACCAACAGACGTGATACGTGGTTATACAAACACTTATGGTAAGCCTGAGTGGTGGCAGGGTATACAAACAAGTGCTGAATCTGTAGGTGCGCCCGAGGTGTCCCGCATGGTGCAACCAGACGGAACCATGTCCGGAGTGTCTCAGTCCATCGACGCCTGGTCGTTCGGGTGTGTACTATCGTTAGCTGCGACGTGGATAGTTCTGGGATTCCAAGGTATCCGCCAATACCAACGACTCCGACAGCTATCACCGGCAAACAACGTGGGTGGCCTTGTGCTAGATCGATTCCATAATGGCACAGATGTTCTACCGGAGGTAGAAATGTGGCATAGTTATCTTCGTGGACATCTCCGATCTTCAGATACTACGACAGAGTCTGTGTTGCATTTGATCGAAGAGAAACTCCTTCAAGGAGTCCCGACTGCACGATGCAACTTGAGTGAGCTCTGCGAAGAGCTGAAAACTCTGGGTGCTTACGCCAAATACAATATCAGAAGCTTAAGAGAGCACTCAAAAGATACTGACCCTGTAGTCATGAAGGCTCTCTCAAGCATAGAGGAAGAAGCGCAGATCCAGAGGTTTTCTGAACCACAAACCAACCTCTTGCAGCAACCGCTACTACGGGTCAACCCTCGCGAGCGGGCATCGATGCAGATAAGGAAGGGAGATTTGATCAGGAACAAACCGCTCGGTCAGACGGCGCATCGTAAAGAGATTTTGAAGGAGAAACTCGAAGACTGTTATGGGTCTAAGACAATCGAAAGTTCGCCACTCATCGCCGGTCTTCACAACGGTGCTGTTACGGAGAGTCCGATTGACTCGAATCCATCAAGAGGGCTGCAGTTTGGTGGTCGCAAGATCAAGCCCAGGCATCCCCAAATTCACAAGTCTGAACCAGGTCAGTTGGATGCAGAGCCCCACCCACCAAGCTCCGCACGTCCAACCATACCAAGCAACGCTCTTTCGACACCTCCACCATCGTCCAATCGCTATAACCGAGTTTCTATTGCTGGTAAAGAGCCTTATAGTAACGATCCCTTCGTTACAAATTCACGAGGCAGTTCATTCGGAGTCGAATTACCATCCCGCGCCAATTTGGGAAGACTCAGTTTGCAGAATCCAAAAGCAGAATCACCATCCACAAAGTACTCCACCAGTCACGTACAGCCGCACGGTACTTCGATTTCGCCATCTCCGCCCGCAGACAAATACCTTACGTTGCAGAACTCCGACTTCATGGTCGAAAAAGAAGCACACACAACAGGATCTCCTCCACTCACACCCATTAACATCGCCCATGAGCACAAGATCACCCACAACCATGTTCCCTCCATAGACCACCTCGTCAATCGCCAGAGCTACGGAGGATCAGCCCCTATAGCGTTCGATACAAGCCCTACAAGCCCCTCTTTCGACGACAAACTTGTAGAAGAGCTGGAACTTGGGGCCTCAGGTAAAACTGAAACTATTGGCAACTCTCGGCCATCAGTAGTCGTTTCACTGGCGGTAGATGCTCAGTCGTCGCAATACCAACCCGCGACACCCAACCTATCCACTCACCTTCCCGAGATGCAAGCTCTGCACAACCCTACGTCTGCGAGATCTTACGATGACTCTGCGCTGCCACTTCCTCAGTCTGCACTGGAATTGCCCTACGATATTTGCCTGAAAAGAAAGGCTATGGAAGAGCAGGTCTCGAAGGGTGTAGTGAGAGGTATTACTAAATTGAAGAGTACATTAGGCTTTGAAACCAGATCGCGAGATACTAGTCTTGAAGACACGTTCAGTGACCCACGTGAGATTGTAAGCTAATTGCAAACTTTCTGTAGATCCAGCTAACATGTTGCAGATGTTAGTGATCGATAACGGGTGGACAATGTGCAAGCACTGGCCGATCGTAACGTTCGTCGCACAAACGCTCGCAATGAACGCCGCTGGCCTAGATAGGGATGGATTCGACGTCAAGTTCACGGTTGATGGTCGCACCCATGATCAGCAGCGCCTTAGAGGAGATCGGGGTCGGAAGAAGCTGAAGAAAGCCTTGAAGGAAGCGTGGCCAGAACAGAAACCGAACGATAACGCCACTACAGACATGGCGCGGATTTTTCAAACCATCTCTCGAGAATGGAACCAGGCCGGCAAACCAGCTACAACACTCCTCGTACTGACTGACGGCGTTTGGTCAAATGAGAATACCGCTACCTTTGATAAGATCGTCCTCGATATCGCGCGATTGGAACAACGACCTGGAGGTAGCCGTCACTTCAGCATTCAGTTCATTCGATTTGACGATGGACTGCCGGAAAAGACTCGTCTAGAGTGGTTAGACGACCATTTGTGCGCCAAGAACGGACTGAAGGACATTATCGATCACTGCTCGTGGCAAGCTCACGTCGAAAAAATGCTTACAGGCAGCATTGAGGTTTATGCCGACGAACAGAACTCTGTTGATCAACCCATGTTGTACGACTACGACGGTCTCGTTGGTCTGTTCAATACCTTCAACAGAGGGGGCGACGCCCTGCTTTCACCAACCGGTACCCCATCTCGGACGCCCTCACGAGCATCGAAACGCTTGTCGATCTCCAATTCATTCACAGAGGACTGGACTAAAAGAGGTTGATCAGCAAAAAGGTTTCATGGGAGTCGAATGTGTTTTCCTGTTCAACACGCGTGTGATACATCGGCATACCCTCATTCAACGATGCCTTCCGACATTTCAACACGCGCTACAATACCCACGCCTATACACTATCCGTTGTACATACTCTTTCTTACTATCTGGAACTTGGCACATCGCCGTTGGAGCACTATACCCATGGAATCGGCGCTTAGAATCTAATTTTGTCTATTGTCGCGTGGACTGTCATACTCATCTTGAGATGGGATAGAAGTGTCTGGATGCCAGTCTAGACCAGGCGCCTACGTATCATAAATTAGTTCTAGAGGAAAGTTGGGTGAATAGATGTCATGCAATACATTACATGTACTTTCTGAAGGGAGAGACGTGATCAAACCTCTTCGGTCGGCGTTATGAGAAGAGATGTCATGCGTAACATCGTCTCAACGACCAGCGAGCGTAAGGCCGTATTCGACCGAGAGCCGCCCCATGACACAATAATGCAATAGCATATTGGGCCAACAAGTGATTGAAACTTGACGTCGAATTTGGTTATATACAAAGTAACATACAATACAACTCGGTGATCGACAATATAGTGGTTGAGACAGGGCCAAGACCTCACCGATGCACGTATCTAAAGCCGATCCTCTTCCTCAGCGCAGCACGCTCAGACAGCTGCTCCGCAACAAAGCGAACACTAGGCTTCTCGATCTTCCTAGCGCCCTCCCTCAAATATCTGCTATGTCTCGAAGCCGTGCGAACAGGGTCTGGGGTGTAGGGTGTCGCATCGAACCTGCGAACCAGCGGTATAGGCTTAACGTGAATCTCCTTCGGGGCACGCCGACGAGCGCGTCGTATGATTTCCCTTGAACGTATCGATATTGTCGGTTTTACCGGCTTGTACGAGTCGACGACGCGAGCAGACGGTGCTTTGCTGGGAGGGAGGGAAATGAAGTTGTAGGCCGTGGTGTTGGAGGCGCGCTTGCGACGGGGCGCTCGGCTTGTTGTTTGTGCGGTCGGTGGGTTTACTTCTCTAGATGATGGTTGAGAGGCAGTTTCACTGGGAGTGGAGTTGTTTGGAGTCTCACCTTGGGGTTGAGATACAGGCTCAGAACCCGTCGAGGACTCAGGAGTCGTGGTAGGCTCTTGCGCTTTTGGTGTCTTCTTGGCGGCAGCATTGAGTGCTGTAATGTCTGGCCTCTTAGAGCCTGGTCCCAGCGGTTTCGGCTTAGTATTCTTTACTGTGGTGTAAACAGTGCCCTTGACAGCAACACCTCCAGTCGGCCCCTCAATCCATACATCGTATATACCGCCATGTTGCAATTTCTTCTTTTCCAAGCCGCATATGCGCATCTCCTCGTCACAGTACAGCGGCGCTAGATTGCGATATTCGATCGACTCCAGATCATGCTTTCCCCCGGTCTGTGCGTACACGTAATGGCTCATGGTTTTCAACATGAGGAGCAGGGAAAGAGGACCGTGAACTAGCAGGTTGCGGTGGCCTTCGACGTTACGAGCGTACTCGGGATCAAGGTGTATGCGATGGGCGTTGAAGGTAAGAGCAGAGAAACGGAAAAGAAGGGCGCGATCGGGAGTGAGGGCGTGTGAGAAGTCTGGCTTCCCAGGGGCTACACAGAGTCAGTAGATAGTCCAGAGGTTTGCCAAGGTACGCACGCTGCAAATACTTCACGGTGGCCATCTGCCCGGCCTTGACGGCCTCCAATTCTGCGGCGGGGCGCTCCTTGAAAAAGACCAGGTTACGCTCCTCTTTCACGATGGCATCGCCCCAATCATCGCCGTCGCGCAACTGCTGCTCGAGGTAAGTCTTCAGTTTGCGACCTCCATTCTTTCCCAATTTGCCATGCTTCGCGTTGTATGCTCTCCCTACGATGTCAACCCGTGCAAAACGCCGTTCGATCGTGACAAAGATCTTGGCAGTGTCGCCTTCTCCGTGCAGTCGGACATGCTTTATGTGCTCCGTCCCAGACATTGGAAATTCGACTCTAAAGCCGCGGTTACGGTCGTAATACTCGTCGGGTCGTACTTGTATCGAGCCGCCAGCCCACATACGCCGCACCCACGGCCCGCCCGGGCTCTGCGACGCGTCTGTTCCATCTGGGAGTAATTCGGTTGTCCGCACCGCGGGATTGAACCATATCAAGTGATGGCCAAACGGCACCATGCGACTACGCACACCGGGGGCATAGCACCATTCTTGAGGTAGGAAACCCGAGATGCTTTGCGATAGCTTGAATTCGTGCGAAGTGGCGATGAACTCAGGAAGGTGTATAACGTCTCGCTGCAACATTTCGGTGCGCAGCTCTTGGAACCATGGCGGATCCTCCGAATTGGCTGAAGAATAGCATCGCAGCGGTATTCTTCGCCATTGCGTGCGATTCGCGTTGTCCCAGGCAATCCGATGTGCGCGCGGGGTCCGGAGCAGCATTGGGAAGAAGGTCTGCGGACGTCGCAAGACCCGCCGCAGATGCTATCCTTGAAGTCTTGGCGGCTTGATGACGTATGCGACTTGACTGTTTGAATGCCCATGACTTACTTATACGTAGCGTGACACTTCACCTATAACAATCATTGCTAACCTCCATTATGTGCCAGTCTTCATATACTACGCGCTTGAAAAGCTGTGAAGATCCAGTAGCCATGCCAGTCCTACCGCCAACATCATGCGCGGCTGACCGCCTCGCTGCGACCCACTCGTTAGCCACACCCATCTTCACACCGATATACCATGGACATAGCTTGCATTGAACTCGCATCCTAAGTTCAAGCTTGCAACCGATATCGCGTCACGCGTCTTGGCGTGTTTGTTTGTGTTCCTCTTTCGGCTATCCACGAGCGTCGCACCTTCTTCACGTCCACCCCGGCTTAATCTTCACCGCCAACGCCATCGTTGCCTTGCAAACAACGCCTTTACCTCATAAGCGAGCCTCCAGTATGTGTGCAGTTTACCAAACTCGTGGGTTGCTGCTTCGTCTGCGTCTGAACCGCGTTCGTCATGCTAAGCCACGGAAGCCCCCAGCGACTGCCACAACATAGTCAGCCGTATACGCACGAGGTGACGGTTTCCATACACGTGAACAACGAGCCACCCAAAATTGTCACTCGCCACTCATCCCTGGGGCAGGAAAGTGCTGGACACCTTCACACCCAGGATATCACCTGCACAGCGATGACGAGCAAGATGGAGCTTCTGGAGTGTCCCATGTGTGACTTCACCGTGCTTCAGAAAGATGACTACATTCTGCAACTACACTTTGAGCAAGTGCATACCGAGAACTCTCCTTTCGTGATCGAAGACGACCCAGAACCGTTACCCCCTTCGTTGCCCCTCAGGCCTTCCTCGCTCCGCCACGACACCGAGGACACGCCTTCCTCCGACGATTCGGATGAGGAGGAAAGCACTACAGTGTGCCCTGACCCCAACTGCGGCGAAGTCGTTCCTCTCTCCGAACTCAACGACCATCTCGAATACCACAACGCAGAAACTTTATCATTTGACGAGACTACAGGAAAGTATCATTCTCATCATTCATCCGCTACTATGCAAGGCTCGACCTCATCTCGTCGTTCCCATGCGAGTCAGGCAAGAACCACAACATCCGAGCGAAGTTTCAGCACAGACTTGTCAGATGCTTTGAAGGGGACTGATGCTCACGGCCGCAAATCGAAGAAGCATCCACATCGGCATCGGCGCGACACCGATGAGAGCGCGAAGAGTACCATCGGAAGGAGTATTCTAGGCTTTAATCCTTTTGCGAAACCCGACAAGTCCGTCAAGCCACCGATCAAAAGTGCCCGGCTAGGTGTAAGTTAATCGTCCTTTTGGCAGGGCCTAGCTAATGTCCGCAGAAATCCGAACTGGGACCTTACGCTTGGGAGAATCGAATGCCTAAGTGGCTGCACGATCAGCTGGATGCTGGCCCCAAGATCACTGCCGTCAACCGCATCGGCCGAGATGGCCGCCTCATCAAGCATGATCAGGTGCAGAACGAGACGCCAGGCATCATTCCCATCCTCGCGCAACTCTCTGCTCTTGATCGGACCGTGAAGGAAGCATATTACTGTCATCCATCGACACTCCACGTTGGTAAAACCCCAAGCGAAGGTGGCTTCTGCGGTTACCGGAACATACAAATGCTGCTATCCTACATCCAAGGCGCCAAGGCTCAAGGCTACGAAGAATTCCCAGGACGGCTGCCGACTATTCTGAAGATGCAAGATCACATCGAAGATGCTTGGGATAAAGGCATCAATTCAATCGGCCGTGTCCAGACTGGTGGTATACGTGATACTAGAAAGTACATTGGCACACCAGAGGTGACATCTTACTTACCTTCAACTGTTCTCTACTAACATGTATCAGGCTCAAGCCTTTTTCCTCAACTCGGAAATCAACTGCGCTGTCGAGCAGTTCAGCGACAATAAAGATCGCGCCATTGCGGCCCACGAGCTTCTCCTCGCTGCCATGGAACGCTATTTTGCGCGAGCGGCTGCCAGCGACGGATCCAATGTCTCCAAGACTCTTCTACCGCCTATCTACCTTCAACAACCAGGACACTCGATCAGCATCGTCGGGTTTGAGCGCCGCTTTGACGGCTCATGCAATCTGGTCGTCTTCGATCCCATGTATCTCACAAGTCCTGCAATGCATAAGCTGCTTGGCCGGAAGAACATCAGGACAGCTCGACCTGAGGTTCTGTACGCATATCGTCGCGGAGCTGGGAAGCTTAATAAATACGCTGCTTACGAGATTCTGATGTATGTTCATTAGTCGATAAGCGTTTGTCGCATGCTGACTTTGCTCAGGCTCACTGCGTCACCGCCTTTGTTTCCCGCTTGGGATGTATGAGCATCCATCCTCAAACCTGACCCTTGCATATAATAGCACAGTCCGTTTCTATGACATCTACTGAACGTTGCTCTTCTAGGTACTTCGTCAATTCCCCGAGTGCCGCTTCGTGTACGTCTTCTTCCGTGCACGCACCCTTGGATACGACGTGTATCCAGAAGACTATTTCCTACGAAACTTTCCGTGGCAACAGTACGGCGGACTGTGGTCTTGCGACGATGCTCGGTTCGCCCGAGCGGAGCCGATGAACCCACTCACAGCTCTGGCTCTACGTCGTATCACGGGCGAAGGGTCTTCGAGCTCCAGCAATACCAATAGTCCCACAAGTCCCACAAGCTTCTTCACAAACAGCTGTTTTCAGCACATGCCAGCAGACGAGCATGATCGACTTCCTTCATGGCTGGGCTCGCTCGATGGTTCGGCGAATGGCTTTGTGAGCCCACCCCGGTACGGCGGCAATAGTCCTGTTTACAACATGGGTACAATGAGCGCTGCTCTGCCTCAGCCTAGAGCAATGAAACCACAACTGTCACTTCTGACGGATGTTGGAAGAAAGTATCCTGGATTCCCCACGCCCTTGTCCCCTACCCTGCCAGCAAAGGAGGCTTACCCTTCGCCTGCATCTGACGCTGGAAACAGAGCTGCAACACCTCGCGCTATGAGCCCTGCAGTGCGTACAGTGAGCCCGATGAGCATCGACGGCTCAGCCACGTGCTGGCCTTCCCTTCGTTGCGAGCCTCATGGATATGCTCAGCATGCGTCACAGATGGGTCTCGTCGACAATGTACTCTTGGGTCCTCAGCAGATGCGTAACGGATGCCGCACTCCATCAGCATCCTCGCAAGTAATCACCGGTCTCGCGAGTCCTCCTGCCAGTCCATCACGATGTGTATCTCCGCGTACGACCATGCTGAAGAAGTTCGCCGGAAAGCAAGGTCACCAAGACCTATCGCCAAAGTCCATGCAGGACCTAAGGCTTGAACTCGAAGTCCATCCCAGCGCTCGCAATCACAACGCATACCCGGCGTCTCCTCCTTCATCTATTCGCTCTTTCTCGTCAGCTTCCCACCGTCAGCCGGCATCGCCTTCTTTTGCTATTGCCAACGGCGTGGAGTCGGAGGCAACGTCGCCCATTGATCCCTCCGGTACCATGCTCTTCTACACATCTAATCGCAGCGTCGATTCAGGTCTGCTCGGCGTCTGCCCGCTTTCTGAACCCCAGGTCGCTGAATACAGATTCTGGCGTCCTTGCGGCCGGCGCATCTGTGGGTTTGGATGCGGAGGCGCGAATGTAGGCGAGGCGGCAGCTGCAAAGCGGCTATTCCGACAAGTCGAGGAGGTCATACCCGAGGTGGAGAACGAGGTTGATAACGACGATGCAAGAATGGCGCAGAGTGAAGAGCACGAGTATGGTCTCGATGGTCAGGCCGACAACAGTACGGGTGATGCAGGTCATGCCAATGGAGACGGCCAGTTCAGCACGAGCACTTGGGCAGGTCGTCGACTGGTGATGGACTGGAACCAGTTCTTGTCAGGCTGCGAGAGGGATGGCATCGCGCAATTCTGATTGAGTGCAGATGGGGTGAGGGGTATTGCTACGTCTCTATGACTTGGCGGCATTTCGACGGAGGTACTCGGGGGTACTCTGAGGCACTATGGGGCTCACTACAGGGTCAGGATGGCAGGCCTTTTATCTTTGGAGTTTATCAATACCACTCGTTCATCACTTGGTTCTTCAGCCTGGAGTCGTGCTGTTTAACGTTGCGGTTGTAACTTGTCCGCATGATGCCTTGTTCAGCTGCCCAAAGACGCAAGCGTGGCTAGATGTGGCGTCGAGATGTCGTAGGGCATAGTTCGCAACACTAAATTGGCGTCTGGATGTCAAAAATCTATTACGGGGCAAGTGACGTGCCTTGAAATCCGAGTCGAGCTAGGCTGGACGACCCAATCGGCGATGATAACCAGCTAATCACCCGGCGTGTGCAGCCAGCGCTGCAGAGATCGAAAACCAGTATGATCTGCCGGCCTAGACCGCGTAGACTCTCGTACTCATATGTCCTGTTCCTCGCCCCAGCCCTGGATGCCCGTGAGAATTTCGCCGTCCCGGGTCTCAGGTCGCCTCTTGACAGGCACGCGCTCGTGGGGTGTGGTATGACGTCACGCGGATCTTCCTTCTCTCAGCACTTCTTCCTACCACCTGCTTTCGCTTTGAGACACGCCGAGCGCGCTCGCCTGCACCTGCGCCATGGAGAACCTTGACAAGCTGTCTGCGACAGGTCTGCCAGTGTTCGATCTGAATGCGGAGAACCTGCGGCGCAAGGACTGGTGAGAAGACGACCAAGATGCATACGCTCCTGCTGGGCCCGTACTGACAACCGCCCAGGACTAAAACAACCATCGGCTCGCGCGAGTCGTGGCCCGTTGCATTGACATGTCTCGTCAACACGTGCGTGCTGCCAATGCCCCACTGCAGCGCCATCTTCTGGGGCCAGGACCTGATAGTTATACACAACCTCGCCTGGGAGAAGGCACGGGGTGGTCTTGATGGCCAGGCCACCCTCGCGCGCGACAGCTACGGCCATGAGGCGCTCGGCACGCTACGAACGGTGCTGAGAGGGCGAACGGTCAAGGTGGGTAAGCATGAGCTACGACCATGTTTCCCGCATCTAGCCAACTGACCCTTCTAGCCGCTAGGTATTTCCTCAAGGACTTCGCCGAAGACCATGAAACGCAGCTTCTCCTCAGTACTATCTTAGACGAGAGCGGCACACGACAGGGCGTACTGGCCCAGCTGCTCGAGAACCGGCCTGTAGACCGCTACATGCCCATCGAGGGTCTCGATAAATTTTCGCGCCAAAATCCGGGGAGACGAGTCAAGGACAATGAGTCTCAACAGAAAGGCAAGCACAACAGTAAAACCAAGCAGGCAGATTCCATGCAGACCAACATGTTCCAGCGCTTCGCCGAGCTGCTGCCCAATGGCCTGGCCATTCTCGACAAGGACGCCGAAGCCATCTTCGTGAACGACGGCTTCTTCAAGCTGACCACGAACAAGGGCAACAACGAGTTTCGATCGTGGCCTGAGAGCATTCACCCCGACGACTACGAAGACGTTATGACTGCATACCGCAAGGCATTCGAAAGCCGCACAGAGCTGCAGATAGAGTTTAGATGCGATGTCGCTGAGCCTGAGGAAATGAAGTCCAAGGGAGAGCAGTGGAGACTTTTCTTGCTCAAGCCTCTGAGTGAGGAGGCTGATGCCGGTTTTATTAGCGCCGTTATCGATATCACCGATATCAAACATGCCCAATTGACCCAAGAGAAAGCTGCCAATGATGCCAAAGAGCGCAAGGAGCAACAGGAGAGGTTTATTGACATGGTTTCCCATGAGATTCGAAATCCTCTTTCTGCCGTCCTGCATTTAGCTGAAGAAGTGAGAGAGATTACTAAAGAAATTGGGGCGCAACACAACGACATCCACGACCAAGTGGCCGATATCTTGGACGCTGCCGACACTATACTGCTTTGCGTCTCACACCAGAACACTCTTGTAGACGACATTCTATCTTTTTCCAAGCTCGACTCTATGATGTTGTCCTTAGTACCCCGACGTGAGTTTCTCCACAGTCATAACGTATGACCATCTTACTGAAATACCATAGCAACAAGACCCAAATGGGAGTTCTCCCAAGCACTCCGAGTTTTCCATTCCGAGTTCAAAGCCAAGAACATCAAGTTCCACTATGCCATGGACGTCTCATATGAGGAACAGAAAGTGGACCATGTTGTCGCCGATCTGAACCGCATGAAGCAAGGTAAATAACTTGTGCTATCTTCCCAAGCCACGCTGACGTCTTTAGTACTGGTCAACTTGATAACTAACGCTATCAAATTTACTTCCAAGAAGAATGGCGACAGAAACATCACTGTGTGTATGGGTGCATCCGTCAAGCGACCTACGTCTTACCCCCCAAACGTCATCTATTTCAGTGAAGAGAAAGAGGCTTTCCACCTTGATTCCACAATGACATCGGAATGGGGCGCCGGGGCTGCCATGTACTTGATGGTGGCCGTCAAAGATACTGGTATAGGCATTAGCAGAGAGGGCCAGGCCAAACTGTTCGAGCGATTTAGGTACGTTGTGCGCTCTCAAACTCATCAAAAATGCTAAGCTCACCACATGACAGACAAGCGACACCCAAGACTCAGGAGAGATATGGCGGCTCAGGTCTTGGTCTGTTCATATCCCGCAAATGTGAGTCAATGCCCCTGCTTCATACGCCATTAGCTAATCTATGCTCAGTATGCACATTGCACGGTGGAGACATTGGCGTGAGTTCGAAGGAAGGAGAAGGTTCAACATTCGGGTTCTTCTTCAAAGTCCGTCGCGCGGTCGGCGAAAATAGTGAGGGGCGGCCGACACAATCTCGAAGCAACTCTGAAACCTCAAACGCTTCCTCTCGCCCAGGAGAGTCCGGATCGCGGCCGTCTCGTCCACCCATTAGTCGTGCAAACTCGAATCTCTCAAGCATCAAAGAACGGAAGAATGAGCGTCCTGAAGCGAAAACGCTCGCAAGTCATGGCGGTGTGGATACTGAGGATGTCGATCCTTCACTCAAGCATCCACCAGTAGAGAATCATCCAGAGTCGCATCCGGACTCGAACGAGGATTCGCGCTACAAAGAGACGGAGAAGGCCACCGAGGATATCAGAACACAAAAGCCACACATGGAAAGGAAACTACCCGACCTAAGGAGAGGTGAGACGTCACGCCAGGAGGACGATGCTAAAGAGATTACGAGATCCCAGAGCGACCAGCGCAACGAAGACACACATACCCTTCTTCTCGTGGAAGACAACCTCATCAACCAGAAAGTGTTGCGGCGGCAGCTCCAATCCCGTGGTTTCCAAGTGTTTACTGCGAACAACGGACAGGAAGCCATCGACGCAGTCGCCGAGCGCGGACAATTGGCGGACAACGGCCCCAATGATCGCAATTACTTCGACTGCATACTTATGGACCAGGAGATGCCAATCAAAGATGGCAATGCGGCGACGCAAGAGATCAGACAACTACAGGATGAGGGCAAGGCTGGGTATAGCCACATTCTCGGTGTCTCTGCAAACGTACGGGAAGCGCAGACTAACAGCATGCGCGCAGCCGGTATGGACGACGTCATCTCCAAGCCATTCAAGGTCGACGATCTGGTCAAGAAAGTTCGTGGGTTAGTGCTCAACGGCGGTGGTGGTTCAAAACATGACAACCGGCCGAATGGTAGCTCAGATACTGGGCAGGAAGACAAGAGCAAGAACCAAAGGAAGAAGAGTGGGAATCAGGAAGATGAGGGCGCCAGCCAGCAAGAGATGGGTGGCCTTCATCCACAAGCCGCCGAACGACGAGATAAGGACGGGCATTCGAATAACGAAAGAGAGAACCTGGATCGAGGTGGCGAAAGGTCAAGATCGCGCTCCAAAAGAACCGAAGGATCTCCGAAGAACGAGCACAAGTCACACGCCAATGTAACCGAGGGGTCCGCGACGAACCAACAACAGTCAAAATGAGTGCTATATCGTCCCGGCGTGCCTAGGGTACGTGTATACTCGCATTTGGATTGCATGGTATTGTTCTCTGTGAAATTCGGGGCTCAGGATTGCATTGCACGGTGTTTTGGATTCGACGATCTGGACTGAAAGTTGAAATGATTGGATGAGAAATGAATATACGAGGTTGGATCGCATTTATAGATGGGATTGAGCGTCCTAGAAGATGGCAGGTAGGGAAGATGAGGGTCGATGGTGGATGCTTTTGCTGTAGCTGCCTCGCCCCTTGTCCGCTTTCTTCGAGGACATGCTAAGGGCTACGAGGGCTTATTCTCGTGCATTTATAAGGGACTGAGCGTTCAAGTTTTCTATTGCAGTATCTTCCGAATTTGAATTGCTACACTATTGTCGGGGGAGGTGCACTGCTAGTTATGCCCAGTATGAAGGCCTTCTCCGCGTATGAAGCAAAGGTTACTCGCGAGAAGAACCTTCAGATTCAAGCGCGAAACCCAGGGGAAGCCTGGAAGTCGTGCATGAGGTGGAGTCTCCGATAATGCAAGAACCCGTAGGTACGCGAGTCATGCCTATGACATCCCACTTCCAGATGTTACCCCACCCTTTAACCAAACAAACATCACGACCGAACTCATCGTCATGCATGCTAGACTTGTTTACATGCGCAGCTGCGGTCTATTACCTACTCTCTGTCCGCCTTGAAATCTTAACTAACCTTCCACACTCCTCCTACCTAACATGACGAAAGAGTTCCAAGACAAGGTCGTCCTGATCACAGGCGCAGCGAGCGGTATCGGGTACTTCTCCATCTCACATCTTCCCACCTTAACCCATCTACCCCAGTAAACCCATCATGCTAACCGTCCCCCAGCCGCGCAACAGCCCTCAAACTCTCCTCCCTCGGCGCCTCCCTCGCCCTCTGCGACCTCAACTTCCCCGCCCTCAGCGCCGTAGCCACCTCCTGCACAACACCAACCCACCTCCGCAAAGTCGACGTAGCCTCCTCATCCCAAGTCCAAGAATTCGTCGACAGCACGATAAAAGGGCTAGGCCGCCTCGACTACGTCTTCAACTGCGCCGGCGTCAACCCCACGAGCCTGAAGCTCGAAGACACCGACGAGGAATACTGGGATAAACTCGTAAACACCAATCTCAAAGGCGTGTTCCTCGTTACGAAAGCCTGTCTCCCGCATTTGGAACGTGGTTCTGCGATTGTTAATGTAAGCAGTGTATCTGGGATTCGTGGGTCGGCGCTTCAGTCTGTGTACTGCACAACGAAGTTTGGGCTTATTGGCATGACAAAGTCGCATGCGCTGGAGTTTGGGCCGAGGGGCATTAGGGTGAATTGCGTTGCACCCGGGTATATTGATACGCCGTCGAATGCGGGGATTGTGAAGGGTGGGGAGGCGGTGGAGAGGATGCGGAATGGGAATGCGTTGGAGAGACTGGGTGAGCCGGAGGAGGTGGCGGATGTTGTGGCGTTTTTGTTTGGCGAGGGCGCGAGGTATGTTAATGGGGCGGTTTTGGAGATTGATGGGGGGATTAAGATGAGTAGTACTACGAGTAAGTGAGGGCGTGGAATGATAAGAGGGATCTGTATGAAATGACCAAATGATGGGTCACTTGCTTGCGAACGAAGGAACATTAATTATCTGGCCATTGTTGAGGCTCAGCATATAATTCGGTCTGTCAGAGTCCGATATCGTGGTCGCCCAATGGGAACCTGAGGCAGAGGGAATCCTTGGTCACGTGCGAGGTCGCCAGCTGCGCTAGCGCCTGTCGCATGTCGAAAGTTCCGTCGCGACATGATACTCTCACCACATCACCAACACCACAGCCATGACTGAAGTACAACAACCCACACAAACGTCGCTCGCGACCGATACATCTCTCGAAACTGCTACATCGACAGAGCTCGTGCCGACGACCGAACAGACAATCATCACGACCAATGCCGAGGGCAAAAAAGTCAAGAAGATCATCCGTCGCAAGCGGAGACCGGCGCGTCCACAGGTCGATCCTGCTACGATAAAGCCACAAGAGGTCGCGCAGACTGGAAACATCTACAACGTCTGGTACAACAAGTGGTCTGGCGGTGATAGGGAGGACAAATACCTCTCCAAGACCGCGGCGCAAGGACGCTGCAACATCGCCAAGGACAGCGGATACACCAAAGCCGACAAGACACCCGGATCCTACTTCTGTCTCTTCTTTGCGCGTGGCATCTGCCCAAAGGGTGTGGATTGCGAGTACCTCCATCGCCTGCCGACCGTCACCGACCTCTTCCCGAGCAACGTCGATTGCTTTGGGCGCGACAAGCATGCCGACTACCGAGACGACATGGGCGGTGTAGGAACCTTTCAAAGACAGAACCGAACGCTATACATCGGGCGCATACACCCGACAGACGACATCGAAGAGATCGTATCGCGACACATGCAAGAATGGGGCGAGATCGAGCGAACGCGTGTCCTGACAGCGCGCGGCGTAGCCTTCGTCACCTACACCAACGAAGCCAACTCGCAATTCGCCAAAGAAGCAATGGCCCACCAATCGTTCGACAACAACGAAATCCTAAACGTCCGCTGGGCAACCGTCGACCCCAATCCACAAGCCGCAAAGCGCGAAGCCCGCCGCATCGAAGAACAAGCTGCCGAGGCGATTCGAAAAGCGCTCCCCGCAGCCTACGTCGCCGAACTTGAAGGCAGAGACCCCGACAGCAAGAAGCGCAGAAAGGTGGAAGGTAGCTTTGGACTACAGGGCTACGAAGCACCAGATGACGTGTGGTACGCGAAGGAGAAGAGCGAGTGGGAAGCAGCCAAGCAGCTCGAATCCGGCGGCATGGGCGAGCGCATGATGATTGAGGGTGGGGAGTCGGCATACCAAGATGACGGCTCTGCTGCACAACAGTACCAGCAAGATGAGGGCTCCGCTGCGCAGCAGCAGGCCAATGGTATCTTGTCAGGCTCTACACTAGCGGCACTCAAGGGTTTTAAGGCTACGCCGTCGAATAAGCGGCCTGCGCCTGTTGCGGGGCCGTTGGTGGATTATGGGAGTGATAGTGATTAAGTTGGGTTTGGATTGGAGAGCAGACTGGAGACTCTCACTGCGTGGGCAGGAAAGGGAATGGAAGGGAAGAATTGTACGTATAGTTTGCATGATGGGGAAAAGGACTAAGCATCTCATGGCGTACGCATAGGTTAATTGATACCCGTTCTTTTGCGACTCGTCACATTTCGCTCTGCTGATCGATCTACCTCATACGAGGACAAATCAGAACAGGTCTGCAGCCTACATCGAGATGAAAGCATGCAACGTAGAGGATCTAACGTCAACCTATGCGCTATGGTGTTCAGGTTTTTTGTTCATGAACAACGTGGATCAGTGAGGTTGGAATTTACGACGGCGGCTGTACCCTGAGTTTCTTCGGCACTTGCAGCTTCTTCGTTGGCGAGGGATCGCGTTTCGCTACTACATTGGCATATGTAGGCTTCGCCCCGACCGCTTTCTTCGCCGCCCCAATCTTCTCCAAAGCATCCGCCTTGGGTATAATCTTAGCCTTCTCCGTAACGAGAACCTTCCTCGCAGCCTGCACTTTACGCACCGCATCCGCCTTCTCCTTGACCGACCTCTTAACCTCCTCCTGCCTCCTCACTTTCTCCGCCTTCCTCTTCAAATCCTCCGTCTGCTTCCTCAACCTCTCCGCCTGCCGCTTGACTCCATACGCCCTCTTCGCCCTCGCCAGAATATCATCCGTCTTCGCATACACGCTCCCTTGTACTGGCTTCCCGTTCCCCTTCTCCCTCACCCACGCACTCACCATGTCGAACCCAAACCAGTCCTGCTCTACATTCACCATATACCCACTCGTCCCCGCTCTATCCAGCGCCCACCCATCCGTACCGCATTTATATTTCAGCGACGCCCCCTGCTTCTGCATGGAATCGAAATCCCCGACTACGAAACTCTGCGTCCGGCTGTCAACGAAGATGTTCGGCGGCTTGATGTCGCAGTGTACATACCCCAATGAATGAATATGCTGGATCCCTTTTCGTATCCCTTGGATACACTTTTCTGCATCAAAGACCCTCGACTCGACGATCAGATCCCACAATGTGGTATCGTAGCGCCGGAATAGCAGCGCTGTGATACCTTGGTCCATACCGTAGTTCACGCCTACGTACCGGCAGATATTCGGATGCGCGTTCTTGCGTAGTACTTCACAGTTTGCTATCTCCCGGGTCATGATGTCTTTGATCCAGTAGGGTTGTCCGAAGAGTTCGCGGTAGTAGCGCAGGTAGTCCATTTGCTTGGCGTAGAGATGGCCTTTTGTTGCGTACTTGGCAGAGGTCATGGCGCCTTTTTTGTACGTGGGTCGCGCGTTTGAGAGGTTGATTTTGCGTGGGGGGACGTTCCAGGTATATGGGTTGGGATCGGTCGCGCTGTTGTTATCGTCTGGGATTTGCGTTTCGGCGTACCAGAGCCCTGGGTACTTTTTTGAGCGGAAGAGGGCCCGTTGGGTTGGGCCGGAGATGCGTGATTTTTGGAGGATGAGGTCGTTGCTGCGGGCAGCGGCCTGAGGCGCCATCGTGGGGGAACCTGAAATATCCTTGGAATGGAAGATGTTGAGTGGAAGCTATGGAGGGAAAGGCGTCTGACTTGTTTGTCTATGTAGTGAAGGGATGCGCTGTGAAGGCTTTGAGACCACGATGGCATGTTCCAGTCGGCACTATGATGCACTGATTCACTCTGTGAGGAGTTGACGCTGTTGCACATTGCAGTCGCTCCGTTACAGTTTCCAGTATGCCCCTCTTGCTCACTTGGTTAGGCTATGTCTTTACAGTGAAAGCCTGTGTTGTAGCTCTTATTTCGACTCTATTCTTCAACAATATAAGAGCCCATCGACTTTGCTGGAAGATATCTGTTGGTCCTCACATTCAACCAAAGATCCCTCGATGAACTATCCAGATCAGATACCCTGGCCAGATCATCATGTTCAAGTACATTGCCAGATTCACAGGCGTCAGCAAAGACGACCTACCAACGCGCTCAATGCAGATCGTAGACTATCGCGTTGTATCCCAGGATTCTTTGTCCGAAGCCTGGGTGCTAGCCCACAAAGACGGAAAACTATACCACGCAATCAAGAAAGGCATCCTTTCCGACCGGGACATTGACCGTGCCGACCCTTCAACCTGGATAGACCGTGAGAACACTTTGCCCCCTTGAGCAAGTCAACCCAGCCAATTTCTACCCGCAGTACAAACCTGAGTACACACGCATTTGGGAAGTCCAAGGCTGCGAAACGAAGGAGCATTACAAGAAGCATCATGCCGTTCTGCAAGCGGGCCACCGGCGCATTCGCAACACCCGTTACCCAGACTTTGTGGCTAAGACGACTGCACGCGAGATTGAGATGTGCGAGAAACTTCGCGTAAACCCTCATAAGCACATCTGCAGATATCACGGTGTACAGACTAGTCGTGTGCTTCGGTTTGAGTACCGTGGGTCTCACATCGAAGTGCCCATGGAAGGAGAGCGCGTCCTAAATCTGATCTTCGACAAATACAATTGCGACCTCTGGGAAGCAGTTCAGCGCGGTTACGCTATACATGTGCGAGACTGCCTAGAAGCTATTGCTTCTGCGATACGGCACCTACACTGTCTGGGTATCGTCCATGGGGATATTAAACCCCAGAACATTTTTCTAAGGTACCCTGAGGCTCAGTATGACGCGACTCCAACACGCTACGTCGTGGGCGATTTCGACAGTGCGCAACCCACTGGTAGCGTAATCGATGGGAAGCACGGTACTCCGTACTGGTCGCGGGAGAAGAAGGTCTGGGTTGATACCGTGGAGGAAGATGATGATTGGTTTTCTTTGGAGAGAATGAGGAGGTGGCTGGTTGAGGTTACGAAGGGTAGGTTGGAAGATTATGAGGGGATGGATTGGGGAGAAAGTGGAGACGTAGGTATTGTTTGATGGACGCTGGATGGAAACGCTGGTTTCGTGGAGATGTTACCGATGAATGCGTGTGCACCTCCTTTACTTTACTGTAAGGGGGGTCGGGACTTGAATCCTACTAATTTGCCAAGGGGATAAAGGATTACCCAGGGTGACCGCGTAGGACGTCATGAACGTGGAGACAGCTTCTCATACTTATGAAAGAATGAGACATGTCCGCGTAACGATTTGAATGTTCTAAACAGCCAGATGGCATGATATCCAAGCGTCGTGACGAACTGTAAGTGGAGCGTGGAGTGCAGGAAGGAATGAATACGCGACGCGCGCAGTCCAGCCTTGTTTCGAGGTGGAGCTAGACAGCGGCACGACCCGACTAACGGCGTGGTTGCCCCATCCGCGGTGTCCGCGGTGTTTCTGTTTCGACTTCCGCCAGTCGCGCCATTGACGCGTCATCCCTATTTTCTAGATCTCAACCTGCCTATACATAATACACAAGCGCTATATGTGAAGATCCCCTACCTATAGCCAACCGCCCACCACCCGCCCGCCATGTCCCACTCGAACACGCAAGCAACCAACAAGATGCTCAGCACGCTCCCAGCACCCACGCGCGACCTGACGGAACTGGCCAAAGAGGAAAAGAGCTTCACCTTCAACCATTTCACCTGCGAACATGCCTGGGTCATTGGCAATATCCTCCGAAACGCGCTGAGAACCGCCGAATGCCCCGCGCTTATCCACATCTCGTCTGCGAATCAGACGCTGTTCCACTCGCCCAGCCTGCCTGGCATAATGCCCGATCACGAGAAGTGGACGGAGAGGAAGCGCAATACAGTCTTGAGATGGGGGCATTCGACTTGGTTCATGAGCTGTCAGTTTGAGGGCGATTACAAGAGGTTCGCGGAGCATAATGCTATGAGCGGGGATGAGTGGTCGAAATATACCATTGAAGGGGGCGGATACCCCGTCTTCGTCAAGGGCGTAGAAGGCGTCGTTGGCGCTATCGTTCTGGTCGGTGTTGGCGTGGACAGTGAGCAGGCGCACGGTGTCGTGGTCAAGGCCGTGGAGGAGTACAAAGACCTCCGAGAAGGGTTCCGCAGCCCAATGAGGAGTATGACGGTCAAATGACTAGATGGCCTGGGTAAAGGAGACGGTCTTGGAATCACACTTGGCATCGATGAGAGGATGGGAAGGAGCAGAGAGAAGAAAAAGACCTGAGCGCACCATGTGAAGTCTGTTGCACGGCTTGGATTGAGGACTAAAGTACAGAAGAGGCACGATTGCCAGCCGGACGAAACCCGAAACGCCCTCCCACCGCGTCGAAAGCTATCGAGTAGCCAAACAACAAGTTCCGCCCAGTGTTCACATAAGGGGGATGTTCCGGTGGTTGCGGAAACACATACGTTGGTTCGATGGACGCATTCTGGCCAACGACGAAGGAGTAGGAAGTCGCCGGTCGGTCCAGCGACGGAAACCCAATTGTGATATTGGTCCCAGGCTTCACACGCTTCAGCTTGCTTGCTTGGCCGTTTGGGTTGGGATTGGGGATCCAGACAGTTGGCATCGAAACGCCCTGCTCAGCCCTGATATACATCTGCGATATGCCCGTATCGACCAGCAGAGTGCCACAGTTCCGCCCTTGGCCGTCGATGCTGAAGCACATCTTCGCCATGGCCCAATCTCTCGCATCCTTGTCATGAGTGAGGCCTGGCTCTAGACCAGAGAATGCGAAGCCCTTTGTGTTCTTCGGCGTCAGCCCTATCTGGATACCTTCGGCCGATATGATGTATCCAGATTGCAAGTTGCCCTGCCGTATCGGCTCCCCGTCGACTGCGTTGATATTCAGGAATGGGTTGATATCCGGTGTCGCGTATGGCATACCATCTTTCGGACCGTTTCTCCCAAAGCCTACGCCCATGTAGGTGATTTGCGAGGTGTCTCTCTCTTCGGCCTGCTCCCCATGTGGACCCAATGGACATTCGAAACGGTCTTTACGGGGATCATACCAAGGGCATCTCCAACTCTTGTCGACTATCAGAATAGGCACGTCTGCAGTCGCGTATGAACCATCCTCGCCGCCAAAGTGCAGCGGAAGTTTGACTAGTCGCCCTACGTAGAGGATCTTGCTGCTTGTAAAGAAGTGGTGTGCCGGCGTACCCTCAGTAGATGGTATGTTCGGCAGTATTGGGGCGCCTATCAAAGTGCCTGTAGACCCAGTATCCACGGGCATCTTGATGTCAACCCCTTCGACGCCACACATGACTTGCGGCACATGTTTGGGGTTCAGATTGTACATAAATGGAATGAAGATCGAGTCCGTATGTCGTGGTGATTTGGAATCCATAGGGTGTAACGTAGCTATTTCGTTGTACATAGCGAAGAAGGCGAGGCTGGCGACCAAAATCAATAAGCGCGAGAAGAGTGTTGAACACTTCCGCTTTTGGTGTGTGAATGTTGAAGATGTTGCAGTTGGCTCGTGAATTCCAGATGGCGATCGCGTTCTATAGACCTCGGTCTTCATGGCTGTAAATAGATGCAGAGACCACCTGCACCATCCGCTGGCAAACGCCTGACGCACGCTAAGTTCGCGCGTCAATGTCGCGTCCAAGGAGTCAACAGCGTGACACTTGATGGGAAATGTGTACAAAGCGGTGTCGAGTCATTCAAAAAGCACAGTAATAGCGCGCCGACGTCAACGCCGCCCGGGCGCGCTGTGAGTTGGCGTACCTCTGTCCCCGCAATACCCGGATCCCCAGGCACGTACTCCAACCCAGCAATCCTAGACTTCGGCTCTTCTTCTTCCATCACCATCATTCAGTCAGATGTCAACCTTTACGTACTTTCACGAATATATGGATCACGAATCGCGAGATGCCGATCATCACGTGTGCTCATGCACGTCGCAGCCGGGGATGTTCTTAGCTCGAATTAGGCCTGTGGCTGAGTGTGACCATCCACCGCCCTGAAGGCAGTACGACCGCAGACTGAAGGAGAGGAGCACTCTAGCTGAGAATGGCTTTCGACGACCTACCCGGGCCCCTCTATCGACCTTGATACATCCTCCATCTCATCTCCGATCAAACGAATATCCGCTTTCGTACTCCATCCGCGCCTGCGAACGAGAGTCGTCGCAGCCAGAGCATGTAGCCAATATGGGTCGCTCACCATCACGATCCAGCGATGGAGCTGATTCAGCACAAAATGCGCGCGTCGAACCGCGTCTCCTGAAGGCCATCGAGGACAGTAAACACGACGATGCGATCGCGATTATCGAGCATGCGAAAGCGAAGTCGCAACCCGTCGACCACCTTCTGCGCATAGGCTTGATGCGCGCAGCCGAACGCGGAAACATCTACATTACCGAATACCTGCTCAAGAACGGCGCGAAGCCCGACGGTGCACCGGGTGGTCGAGTCTCGCCTTTGTTCAAAGCGATTGAGAAAGAGCGTGTCGACATTGTACGACTGCTGTTGAAGTTCGGCGGCAACGTGGATGCGCAAGACAAGCAGGGACGGACTGCGCTGATGACGGCTGCATGGAAGAACTACTACCACATCATGCAAGAACTGCTTAGGTATGGTGCCGACGTCAACAAGAAGGACAACACTGGGCGGAACATATTACACAACTTGGCGGCAGACAAGCACTGCAACTGGGGACGCGATGTCATCGCGGAGCTGTTGAAGCAGAATATCGCGATCGATGGGCCAGAGGGCCAGGACGACCAGAAGCGCAGCCCGTTACATTGGGCTGCTAGTACCGGCAAGAAGGAGCTATGCGAGATGCTCTTGCGTCGAACGAGATTGCCGAGAGCGAATGTGAACGCGGTGGAAGTCAGGCAGAAGACGGCACTACATCTGGCAGTCGCACACGGGCGAGACGACATCATCGAGCTTTTACTAGTCAACGGGGCAGACGTAGGCGCGCAGAGCGACGGAAGCTGGACGCCCCTTCACAATGCTTGCGACCAAGGCAGTGTAAAGGTGCTGAAGATACTCATGGCTGCCGGAGCGGACGTCAATGCGCGAACACTCAACGGGACGACACCTTTACACGTTGCGGCGCAAGCTGGTCACTTTGACGTAGTCAAGTGTCTTTTGGAAAGGGGAGACATCAAACGAGCGCCGAAGGATACATTTGGTATCACGCCATTCTTGCGCGCTGCGCAGAGCAAGAAACCTGCGCGCAAAGATATCATCAATGCTCTGGCACCCCACAACCAGGTCGAAGCGCTCAGCGAAGACGCCCTTGGCGCTACAAACGGGTTCCATGCTACGATCGTTGACTTTGGCAACTTCCATAACGAAAATAAGGTCTCAAGAAGGACTGTCTTCGAGCTGCTGTATGGCCGCGATCCCATCAACCCAAGAAAGCCAGCTGTTGCGATTCTGCCCAAGGAGTCAAAGGCGACAAACTTCCGATGGATACATCTCCCTGCCAACAACATGGCCTGGGTTGAGGCGCTGCTCACGAAGGCCTTCATCGAGGAGGGTGCCAGTGATGTGGAGGGCTTCAAGGCGCTCGAACGGTCCTTCAGTCATCAGCATCGAGGTCAGCAGATTCATTCGCATTTCATGCGACCGCTGTGTCAAAGCACACCACGTGCACCAAAACAGCACGATGATTCCGACCTTTCCGACGGCGCTGATTTCATCCCCCAGATTCTGGTGAATAGCGGTATGGGCTTAGGTATCGATGCGGTAGCTGGTTCACAAGAACTGCCAACGTCGCAATTTCCTCGCACGCCTGTGCGAACCAGTACCGTGGATACAGACTATACGGATGGGACTGCAGGAACGGGCTCCGGACCTACGACTGTTAAGGAAGGAAAGAGTAAGGCGAAGGACAAATCGAAGAAGCAACCGAAGTGGAGTGGATCGAGACAAGCAGGCAAGCGATCAGGTGGGACGGACACACCAACTCGAGGTCCAGAACACCAGGCGAAACGAACGCATACTAGCTCCTCTCTCAACAATAGCGGCCATCTCAGGTCACCCGGCAGCCCGGGTAGAAAAGAC